GGCTTTTATCTTGTGACCAGTATGTGTTTCGGCGTAGGATTTGTACTCTAGAAACTTGGAAGTGACCTCGCTCTTTTCGCGGAGAAGGTATATCTCGCACCATCGACTGTAGTCGTCGATGAACGTTAAAAAGTAGCGGGCGCCTCCCTTGGATTGTGTACGCATGGGCCCACATAGATCTGTATGGACTATCTCCAGTGGTTTGGTGGATCGTTCGCTCCTTGGTTGAAAAGGGGTGCTGGTCAGCTTCCCGGCTAAGCAGGATTTACAGTTAATCTGTGTCTCAGTGTCCTTTAACTCTGGACCAATAACGTCTTTGTTTTTGAACATTTTGATCATGTCATTTGCGTTTACGTGCCCCAGGCGATAATGCCAACTCATCGCGTCCGTGGGACCGTCGTCAGTAGCGATGCACGCTTTTTCCTTTTTCTCTCGCAGATAGAAGAGATCCCCTTTGCGATCGGCTATCATTTTGACGTTTCCGTTGGTGTCCTTCACGTAAGCGGCGTTCCTCCGGAATAGGATCTCGTGATCGTTGTCCACGATTTTGGTGACTGACAGTAGATTGGTTCGTAGGCTTGGAACGTAAAGTGTGTTCCGCAGCCTAATCGCTCTGTCAACGTCTTCGTGTGTGACATGGATCGTGACGTCCCCCTTTGACATGACCTTGGCCGTGGTGTCGTCCGCTAGTTTTAGTCCGGTTGTTGTATCTGAAAAACTCGCAAATAATTGTTTATTATTACAAAGGTGAGAAGTGCTGCCGCTATCGAGGCACCATCTGCGCGGATCTTCTTCGCTGTTCGCTGCTAATGAGGCGTCGCAGCTGTAATGTTGCGTGGTAAATGCATCCTCGACTACGCTGGCCTTGTCGTTTTCCTTCTTCGGCTTGCTCCAGCAGTCCTTGGCTTTATGTCCCGTCTTCCGACAATATCCGCATTTGTATTTGGGTTTGGTACTAGCCGGATTATGATCCTGTCTGCTTTCGGTCGAGTCCGTGCTGCGAGGATTAGTTCGTCGTTGAGAGCCTTGACTGTTTCGCTTCGAGTAATTCGCCTTGGAAAACATGGCCTGGTTGTCCTTTTCGTCCGCTTTGTGCTTCCTGGATTCCGACTCCTCGATGATCTTTATTTTGAGAGATTCAGCGTCGGGTAATTTATCCCTGGTTTCTATAGCGCAACGAAAGTTTTCGAAGCTATCGGGTAGACTGTACAGCAACATGATGGTTAGCAAGTCTCCGTTTATCTCTACGTTCATTGCTTGGAGTTTGTCGACCGCATCGTAGAACTTAGATAAGTGTTCTCTCACGTCATCGCCCTCGCGCATTTTTCGTTGGGTGAGCTGCTTCAGGAGTGTAGCCTTGCGAGCAGGTCCCTTGGAGGCGTATACGGCTTCGAGCTTCTCCCAGACAGCTTTCGAAGTTTCGCAGCCTCGAACGTGCGTCAATTCGGACGGACTGATGGACAGGATGAGATCTGACTTGGCTTTGCGATCTGCGATGGTCCATGCATCGTATGCCGCTTGCGACGCCGCCCTTGTCGCCCCATCGCCGGTCACTTCTGGCTTCGGTTTTCCGCCCGATACGTAAATCCATGTGTCATTTTTAATCAGGAGGGCTTCGACTTGGATCCTCCAAGTGTCGTAGTTTTCCTTGGAGAGAGTTTCGATACGGGTCGAATTTACAACGCTCATGCTCGTCATTTCTTGGCAAGATGCGATTGTTACTCACGGCTTCACTGGAGATCTTGTTTTCTCTCGTTCGTGCGCGCGTTTTCGCTTCGTCCCTTTAGGGGGGTTAGGTTACGTTATGTGTTCGCAGTGCGTAGGACCTGGGCCCATAACCTGTTGTGAAAGCTTCGGTAGAGTAACTTGACGAGAAGGCAATTGTAATTCGCTTGACTTCCTTTATTGCAAGAATGCTCGTACTCGTCACACAAAAACAGAATAATCGCATAGGCGGTACAGAACCGACGTTCGAGGTACGAGAACAATGAACTTAAAACTAATAGATCGCACACAGCGTTAAGCGAATAGGAACTAGAATGTAGAGGTCGCCCCGATACATAGAGGGACAGAAAGAAGTGAATACACAACATTATTAAATATTTAGAAATAGAATATTATCATGTACAATATCAACATATAGGGGATTTGGTTTGGTCATGTAGGTTTTATTATTAAACATATCGAGAGAATTTAATGAAGTATGTATTATAATCTTTATATGAATTTGATCTATGTAATTATATAACAGACATTAAATGGTTTATTATTAATACACAACAATTATGAAAATATATATTAATAATTACACTCTTTCTTACCTTTTCGTGGTATATCCCAAACACGATTGACAATAAGGTTGTAGATGATTCCAGCCAATAACAAATAGTGCCCTCAATTGTATAAGATGTTATAGATAAAGAATTTATCAATGCAGATGTTGTAAAGTAATAGTAAACCGACCAAAGCAGCGATATATACAAAACACTAAACCATCTTGAATACTTAGATGAATTAGAAATTCTTAAACCAAACACGTAATTGATCACTAGAAGTGGCATTAAAATTGTTCGAATACTTTTAGTCATTGCACACACAGTTTCTATTCCAAACTGCACTTTTGTTGTCTAGTTGGTTGAATAAGTTGCATTGAATAATAATGATAGTAGATTTTTGCAATATTAATTTAGGCACTTACGGCTATTAAGGTAATGAATCTACTATAGTTTGTATTCTATGATCTATATTGAGGTAGAAGTGATGATAGATACTACTCGTTGCAATGACATGAAACATATATTTATATAACAGAAATGTGAATATTGTTCTTTATAGTTTTGTTTTTATTTTTATTTGGATTTTAAATAGTACTGTACCTAACTCACACTCAAAAATGTTATTATACAAAACAGATTTTAATCGCAATCAGAATTATAACAAAGTAGTATAGATATGATACACAAGTACTGTATATATGTACGTGAAATACTTTTGTTCGATATTATGGAAAGTATATTATTTGAATGATTATATAGGGTGTCTGACACAAGAGAACCCCTACGTAAAATGGTTGTAAATTGGATCAGACTAAGAAGAAACGTCATGTATCATATTGCAAATTTTACAATAGTTATCGAAAAATTTATTGAAACATCTGAGCGAATGAGCGAATCTACCACCATTTTTTGTAGGAGTCCTCTTGTGTACCCCTGTGAAGTTAGCCCCCCATTATTTAGAAATTTAACTTTTTTTACGAGTTCCCTATAGATTTACAATAGTTCCAGAGTTCTTGATGGGTTTAAGAAATAGTTTTGCCCATTAAAGACGTTAAAATGAATTTTTTAATAATGGGGGGGGGGCTAACTTCACAGGGGTCTCTTGTGTCAGACACTTTGTATAAAGAAACTGTGTGCAAACAATAATTTTTTTTAGTAAAGAAGAGAACTATGGGTAGATAAAATCGATATAAAAGCATAATAAAGAAAATTTACTCATTATTTATCTTCTTCTATACAAAATATTTTTAATTTTATTTTAAAATTGTTTATTAAAATTTTTATTACTATCAATATATCACACTAAATTTAGGAGATATCATATAATGTATTTTATAACGTATACATTACATACGTAGATTTCTGTTTAAATTATTTTTATAAACTTTATCATAATTTAACAAAAATATTTATTTATTTGGGTGTGCTTGTATTATAATAACTAAAACGGTTGCAATAGACATCACAAACTGAAAATAAAGCATAAGTTTGTTTTTTTAATATTTGTTACTTAACTACTTGTAATTATATTATAACATACCTTATGAAGAAATTTGAAACCAAATTGGAAGAATCCTATTCCACAGAATCTAAGTGGTGCGTAAACTATTTGAAATGAAAATTGTGAAATCTGTAGTGACAAAAAATACGTTATTTTTAATATCTTGTTGATTATTTATATATATATATATAATATTGCTGTGGCAATTTATGTCAAATTATGTCAGAAACTGAATTAATGTGGAAGGGCTGCAGCATTTATAATATATAGGGCATTTATAATGTACCATGCCTGAGAACATAAAATTTCCACCAACTCATTAGTCAACTGTAAATGTTTCTTATTTACAAACTATGACAGTCTTGATATTTTAACATAAGAATTTATCTTGCAATTAGAATATTTTATAGAATTTATAAATGAAAGGGTTATTGAGCTTTTTCGGACATCCTGTGTATATACGTGTGCGGATGTACGTACGTACGTGTGAGTGTATATATATACATATACATATCTATTAAATTTATTTTAAATTATTAACTTACAATTTCACGAAGTTCAATGTCATAAGAGAGGTATGATAATTTATTTAATAAATCTGCCGTTTTCTTTGCCTGAAATTGTAATATTGAATATGTCGAATATTATTTAAAAAGTTCCTAAATTAGCGTAAATGTCAATAATACTCAGATTTTAAATAAGTAATTTAAAATTAATATTTTTTCTAACAATAAGATTAAACATAAAGTGAATACCTTGAGAGTGACTCTTTCGCACATATAATTAATGAGCAAAAATTTAAAAATATTATGAGAAAGCCAGAAAAATTGCAGAGTGATGGACGTTATTCTAAATTTTACATAATTGTTGATCAGGATTGAGTAGAGAATTTGCTGCAAATCAATCACCATCCAACCAAAATAACTTGCCATTTTGAAAGTCATTTGTGCTCCAAATATTATATCTATTTCGTGGAATATTTTGCGTAACTCCAATTGTAGATGTCTGAACATATGTATGTATATAAAATTTCTTTCTGTATAAATTATTATTTATAACTTTTCAATTGTTTCTATTCATATTACGGCGGTACAGTTATATAAATGTTCTTACACAATAATCCAAATTATACATTTTCTGTTTAGTGCTTTTGAAAAGTTACATTGATGCGGATATATCATAGGATCTCTCCAAGTCTGTTTTACTTTCTGTTTATTATTTCTCATCAAGTTCTGAAGAAGATTTGCATTGATTTGATCAAACTTCAATCCTATGTATCTAAATGTTAAGAAAGTAGATGGAAGATAAAATCCTTATTTGCAGATAGCATCATATTGTATCAGTATTTTCAGAAAGATTATAAAAGTTATTAATTTTAGGATAAGTTCAAGAGAGATGGACCAGTAGATATGGTGGACAATTTGTTTATTTTTCAAACGGTTGCTAAAGTGTTTCGATAGCAGTGTCACTTAACAGTAGCAGATGTGCCTAATATGTAGCTATGTTGTTTTTGTCTCCTTAATGCAAATATTTCAGTTAATATACTGTATGATATAAGTCAGATGAGTCTAAGTTTTTATTATTTAAATGATAAGGTTATACAAACTTTTTGATAATATTTTTTAACTATTATTTTATACAAAGTGTAATTCATATGTCGATCAATCATTACAATGTGTCATATTATAGTGTTGGTTCCAACGGTTCCAACATGACAACCTGGTCTTTCTTTCCCATACAACATAATCCAACGTAAATGGATGAATTATGAATAAAATTTTTTGATCAATATTCATGAATTTGTTTACGTGTACTTGCACATTTAAACTATTTATTGTTAGTATATGTCCATCCAGAATATTACGATGCCATCTTTCTTGGATTTACCCTGTGCACTTACAATTTGGTTTATTAATGCAAATAACTCTCGCAGAATAGTAAGTGTATGTAAAAAGATGTACCAACTCGAGAATACTTGCAGTGGTTAAATCACCGATGAAGTTTACATGGAAGCAATAGTTTAGTAAAAAGATGAAAAACATAGCATCTTCAACTTTGCAATTAATTTCAACTTTTGTGAAGATTGCTGTACTGCAATTTGTTAATATGACTATTGCAAGCCACCCAAAAATAATCCATACTGTTTTCTTGTGTAGTTTGTTATAATCTGTCATTATTCCTAGTCTAAACAAGGTGCTGTCAATAGTATCGATCTTTTTCAAACAGTTCTGGAATTTCTGTCACAAAGATAGAATGCAAATTAAAATGATTATTATTTATCTGAAAATTTAATGATTGTAGTGAATTGATCTAATGATACCTATTTTATATTTAAAAAAATTAAGAATTCTTTATTCTATTATTTTTATTCATAGTTTTATGGCAGTTTTTAGTATTATACAGGTGCAGAATGTAATAAGTTATAAACTGTAAGAGTTTTATATACATTTTTTATTTATTGAGTA